AGCTCAGTTATTGTGTAAAGAGTGGGAAAAATTAAATTAAATGAACATGAATGTAACATCATGTAAATATAAAGTTAAAATGTTAATTATGTTAGTTACTGTAATAATAATCTGTTAGCCAATTACGAGTAAAAAAGTATTTTTTCAAAATAGGTATAAAAACAGTCTGCGATCACAGTATATATAATTACCGTATTGCTTACTTTATTATAAAGCTGTACACGAGCATCTCGCATACAATATTAAATAACTAACAATAATAAATAACGTATAACTATTTAATCAGTCATAAGTGCAAGCACAGATTTCATAGAATCAGTCATTGATTCTATAGATAAAGGCGAGCAAACCGTGGGAATTTTTATCGACCTCAGCAAGGCATTTGATAGGGTTTGTCATACCAAATTATTAAGTATTCTTTCAAATTTTGGAATAAAAAATAAAGCTTATGATTGGATCAAATCTTATTAATGTAATCGAACTACTTTTGTTGAACTGAAATACGTAAACAAATATAATCAACTTATATCTTGCCGTTCCAGTAACAGTCCGTTGAAATATGGTGTACCACAAGGATCAATATTTGGGCCTCTATTCTTTGTATGTTACATCAATAGCTCAGCTAATTTCAGTGATCAGAGTAAAATCACTTTATATGCAGATGATGTGAATATAAAACTATCCGGATACCATGCAAATGACATAGAAATATCTTCTTTTATAAAACTTAATGCAATCCAACAACATTTAGCTGATTTAAACCTTTTATTAAATAAACAAAAAAAACTAAATATATTAATTTTTCCGCTTCAAATAGGAAAAGTGGGTCTGTGGTAAAGAATGTTTGTCTTAATGATTCCTTTATTGATGAAGTTAAGGACACAAAATTCCTTAGTTTAACTGTTGATAGACTTCTTAGCTGGAACACTCATGTATCTCAAGTTTGTAAAAAAATGTCAACAGGTCTTTTCATCCTTAGAAAATTATCACCATTTTGTGATATTAAAACCCTTAAAGCAGTTTATTTTGCTTTTGTGCACTCTCATGTCTCTTTTGGTTTGTCGGTTTATGGTAACACCTCTAATAAAAATTTAAACATGATACTTATATTACAAAAAAAACAATAAGAATAATAGTGAAACTTGGTGAAACTTGGGGAAAGTGGTTTGAGTCAGCCAGAGAAATTTTTTCAAATTTAGGAATAATGACAGTTTACAGCCAATTAATCTATGATCTGATTCTGTGGATTAAAACAAAAATCAAAATAGTCATTGTATGCTAGGTTTTAACCACAGATATGAAACTAGAAATAAGAATAATTTTTGTTTTAATAGACATAAGCTAACGTTTTATGAGAAGAAGCCAACATATTCAGGCATCAAATTTTATAATTCATTACCAGACAACATAAAATGTATAACTGATTTTGGGTCCTTCAAAAAGAAATTGAAGTCATTTATTATTGTTAAACCTTTGTACAGTTTTAATGATTTTTTTAAAGCATATGTCGTCTGTAACATTTAATTTAATTTCTTACAGTGATTATAATTTTAATTTATTATTGTATTATATATACTTGTACTTACTAGTTTATAATAGTACTTGTTGATGCCATTCTGTACTCTATGTGTACATAATGAATAAAGAAAATTTTGATTTGATTTGATTTGATTGAATAATTCAAGTGATTAAACTGTCTTCAATACTACACTGACTAATGAACCTATTGAACATTAAATATTTCGTTATTTGTTTAGAAAAATTATAACTATTTATTTAACCAATAATAATGCTTATGTTATAAAGTATAAACAGATTATTAGAGTACTATTGCTACAATTTTCCAATATCAAAGTTATAGTAGACAGTCGAATCTTGATCTTCGTTAGATGACCGGGTCATTGTATTGGCGAAGATAGTGGCCGATGTTTTGGATGTTTTGAAGCACTCCATTCTTGGGGAAAAGTACAGTTATTCAACAATTGTATTATACAATTCAACAATTAACAGTAAGACAGTAATCTGTCCGAAGATTGATTGTGCACCGCATACAAAACATCGGCCTCGGCCAACATCTTCGCCAATTACTGACGCGGTCATCACCCAAGATCAAGGTTTGCATTTTTGCTTGTTTATTATTCTAGGAAAAAAATTATTTCGAGCCCACCAGTGAGTTGAGTTATACGGACGGTCCTCTACAAGTAGGAAAAATCACACATACATACATATGGCAGATCATGAGGGGAGATCATAACAGTGTCTTTAAACTGTGGTTTCACACACTGCTTCATGAAAAATGAAGTTGCTTTTGAAGAAAAAATTCAATTTTAAAATTAAAAATATACCGTTGAATTATATGAATTAAATAAAAATTTCAGTGAAACTGAAAGTTTTAGTGAATGGGTATTTATACAACTCAGCCAAACAGTTAGTTCAATTGTTTCGTTGATGCACAACGGGTTCGCCTCGAGGGAGACTTAAACGCGTGGTCTGACCGAAGTCGTAGATTAATATGTCCGATTGGTTTTACGCAAGTATTACAGGTGTATGTTAGTATGTTCTGCCTCTATCGCAGCACATTCCTAGTGTCACACCTGTGTGTGTGTTGGTGTGTGGGTGTGTGTGTGTGTGTGTGTGTGTGTGTGTGTGTGTTGGTGACATTGCCGCGGGCCGTCCTGTTGTGTATCCTGCTGACATTTCTAAGTTAACATAATCGCTGGAAATCGATGAATCATCCTGACCGATCTATTTGAGTCAAAAGCTCATATTAAAGTTGTAGAACTACGTAATTATATTCTATCTCGGGTAAATTAATCAATTTGGATGGGTAGTTATGTATTTCCTTGATGTATATACGTTTGAAAAACGAGTCTTATAGCTTCAATATTTGAATAAATATCCGTAAATGAACACATTCCTTGTAACTATGTTAAACTATATCTGAAATAGGGATGGTATAGTTACAGATTGGTATATCGTTTACAGTTTCAGTTGAGAAAAAACTAAAGATATTCAAACGAAAACTACCAATGGATACCGATTTGAAATCGTGACGACTCTAAATAAGTAATATGAACGCAATTTAAGTGTGATTTTATACGTAAAAATATATCATTAACCACAAATTATTAATTATGTCTTTAGTCATTGAATGATTAATATACAAAATTGAAAAGAAAGGGTGCATTGGTCACACCAATAACAATAAGAAATGAGTTTAAATGTCATCAGCAGATAACACTAGTCCCCTTGTACAGGGTGGGGCAGGGAAATATCCCTACTTTTAAGATGGCACTGTGAGTAGTATGGGTGTACTGGAGGAATGGGGTTAGGCTCAAATGACGCTGTTGCTTTGGGATTTTCTAAGAATATCACTTTCAGTAGTAGACATGGCTTACTCGAGTGAGCAATGTGCTTTTGCACTCGAGATGCATTTTTTCAACAAAAAATCAGTATTGTTGCTATGCAGCTAGCGTGCGCTGCGAACTTGTTATCAGATGGCCTGCCGCAAAGCTGTTACATTTTGGTGTGGGTGAAGGACTTCCGTGTACGTGGTGGTGTATTGCGAAGGATATTTGATGCTCAAAGAACCATCCGAACTCCTGAAGACGTTCACCTTGGCAGAAGATCGATTTTGCAGTCTTCTCAACGTTCTGCTTGTAAACAAGCATCCGCGCTGGCGTTGCCTAATCTTACTGTGCCTCGTATTCTCCATGAGGACCTACACCTCCATCTATTAAAGCTTGTAGTTGCTCATGAACTCACACAACGGGACTGGCAATTACGTATGAAGGCATGTGAAATCTTAATTGCGGGACTGTCTCATGTTGCTCGGGTTTTTTTTAGTGACGAGACACACTTCCATATTACTGGAGCGGTAAATAAGCAGAATATGCTCTATTGGAGCCTAGGGTAGTTTACGAAAAGACCCTAGATGCCTTGAAGGATGCAATTCACCTTGAGGTTGGCCGCACTCCACAACAAATGCTTCACAGCGTTATGATGAACTCCAGAACCAGAATACAGCAGTGTATTTACGATTAGGGACACCATATGCAGGATATGCTGTTTAAAACCAAGTAAAGTTATATTAAAATAAACTCCCAGATGTAACCTTTTAATCCCAATATAAAGTTTGGTTCTAATATTCTTGGTTGTCTTTTAATGTACCTTCAAAATTAGGGATACTTCCCTGCCCCACCCTGTATCTCCTGTCTGCGTGCATATGAAGATATAAGGGCTGAAATCTCCGCTGAAATATTCAACCTCATGGACGGACAGAATTATCTTTAATATTCGGAAGCATTCTAGATCATTGTGGTACAATCTAGATTCTAGAACACGCTATAATGCTGATAATTGTTCTAGAATATTGACGAAATTTAAAGTATTTCATGCGTGTCACATATTAATGTAAAAAGTAAGGAAATCATTTACAGTGTACTTAGTGTATTTCTGAATTCAAAAGTCTTGATTTGGACAGCGAATGAATAATAACAAACTGTGAACTTTGAGAAACCAATGCGATACAGTGAAAAACAAAGTGAAAACAAAATGTGAAAAGTGTTTAAAGCATTCTTAGATTTTTCATTATTTAAAATATTTCATTTATATTCCATACAATTCCTTAACGTAAAACAGGAGGGGACCTTGCAATACTAATCTATTATCAATTCACTGAGCTAAGCCAAGTACTCCAGCTAGTAAATTATATAGTTAAGGTAAAATAGTGGTTACCTTCCACTAGAATGAATGGGGTAGATCTCATAGATTCGAAACAAACACTTCATTATACATTAAAGTTGGACGACCTAGCAAACTAAGCAAAGTGCAACTATTAGGACGGTGTAAAGATACAAATATTTTAAACAGGCTTCAAATTATTGAAAATTCCAGCCCTTTACCATCTCCTCGGTCGCATTCCCCACGCTGAGGAAGTAAAAGTGGCTATTCGACATTGAGAGTGGCGGAGTTGGCGGGGGGTTGGCGCAGCTGGAGTGTGGAGCCGAGCTGAGTCGACCGGCAAGTACAGGCCTAGACAGTCAGTCTCAGTCAGTACTCAGTAAGTGCACTGTGCAGTAGGCTAGGCTTCCCGCGAGTACACGACCAGTTGACCCCTGCAGCATGAGGCTGTGTTACTGTCTGCTGCTGCTGCCGGCGCTGACTCTCGCTGTCAAAGTATCATCTGGTACAACTTCTGCCAGAGTCAAGAAGCGAACAGGTGCGGATTTAGTGTCAAGTGATTGTTATCATTGGTTTTCGCCGGTACCGTAAGTCTAGTGCATGAATACTTACTGTAGCCTAGTGTCTATGTCACTAGTTTCATGTAAATGTTCCAGTAGACTGTATAATGTTTCGTAATTTTCTCAAGTGGGGTTTGATATATTTTAATAAACCGTGCAACAACATGTATAACAGGATGACACGCATGATGACTTCATATAAAATCTTTTTACAAAATCAATGTTGTAAGTAATTAACCTCGTGGCAACTTTCCTCTTAAACACAATATTTACTGAGAAAATAATTAATTAATTTTATACGAGATTTTAACTGCACAATAATAGTTTTTACAAAAATGAGATAACAAAAATTGTCTATACTAAAATAATTTAAATTTATATTAATTGTGTGAAGGCTCTATTAATATTAATAGTTTAAACCCCAGCAAAATCTTAATCTTATTAAGATACAATATTTTAAAGATAAATAATAATATAACGTAGGGGTAAATATTTTAAAGCAGACCTGGGTGTTGTTTTTTGTAAACTTTACAATAAGGTTTTGTGAAGTCGTTCTTTTTCTTAAAGTAGATTAATCATAACATGAACACTATAGTTTCATAGAAAGCCTTGTTATCAAATACTATGTATATTTAAACATAAAGTGGTTGCGTATATTGAACGCATTAACAATATTGCCTTTTGGTATAAATTCATATACTAAAATAGTGTTGGTAATAATTGTCATTTAAAACATAAATCGTGATGTAATGTTGGAGCATTGTTTTAAATCTTTTGACACATAAACTCACTGTATGTTGTTAAAATACACATTTATTACGAATAATGAAATATGTTTTATTAACGTAAGACTTAACTTATACACTTTTAATTAGTCTTAGTTAAAACATCCTCTTTTTTAGTATCAATATAAAAATCTTTTACTGGGTTTTTATTGCTAGCCAAGATAAAATGCACGAGTTCAAACTGAATCTCTTTATCAATATAATAATAAGAAAAATTCAAAATATAGCTGATGTATCTGAGATCTGAAATATATCAGGCAACAAATAATTATAAAGGTTAAAATAAATGTCCAGTTTTTATGGAGTTTCAAATTGTTGGTTAACTCCGTAATTTATATGTACAGTATAAATTAATACTTCACATTCTAAAGATGAGGGATTCGCTCTTCGTTTATATAAAAAAACTTTGAATTTCCGCACTAAAAACATTTGAATCGGATGCATGCAATACATGAGGATGACACTTGAAATCTGTATGAATATCGTTAGGGTTTACTTCTATACATGAGATATTTAGCTCAAAACAAAAATACAATGGAAAAATAACCATAATAACTTGTACTTGTGAGAGTTTATTATATAATCAAAATTGCTTGATTCATTCTTTTCTTGCAACCATCATTTACTTTGTTTCACCATTGATAAAATGTGCATTAAAATTTATCACTCATACACATGCATAAATATTTCACACAAATTGTCAATAAAAAAGAGTTCCAACCTCCTGGTGACATTTACATTATTTAATTACATCAGAGTGAATCGCTTCTTTTACACTATAAAAATAGTGCTTAGTTATGCTTAGGTATAACGATAACTTACACAAACCCTATAAAGCAGCTAGTCTGCTGTTTACTGCATGTCTACAATACACACCTATGGGGATGATCTTGTCTCGTCATTGAGGGTTTCCAAACATTAGAGTACTTTTACACCCGTCATATGATCTTTATTATCAAAAAAACCGTCCAAGGCACGACACGGGCCCCGCTCATTGCGTGTTTGGTTGTGGCGAACAGAGCTAGAAAAGGAAAGTACTAACGGTGACCCAGATCTGACCAGCAACTCGCCCAGACCAGATCTAGATTTCCCCGGGTGAAAAAAGACAAATTTTGCCAGCTATCACATCAATTCTAACATGTATTTTTATTTATTTATCTGCAATAATTACATTAGATCTGTTTCTTTAACACGTTGTTTAGGTTATTTGTCCTTTGGTGAGATGTTATAATAATTAATCTATGCAATACATCATTTTAAAAAGAATGGTTTATGCAAACACTATGATTTTATTGGGATTATTTTGGATGCTATAAAAGCTGTAAAAGGGGCATTGCAAAAAAACCGCACGTTTGGCTTTAAGTGATCTATATATTCCTACGAATAAAAACATCTTTACAAATTTAGGAGGGAAGAATTACATTTTAAGTCTACATATCTACCACATACCACATAACAATTTATTAATGAATAAATTGTTCTCTTCTAAGTACAATTTTTCGAAGATAATCTTAAATTTGAGAAGGATTCAATGTTCTTAGTTTTAACTGATAATTGTTTACAAAGTTGTGTAATTGAACGATAACGCAAGATTGAGGTGAACTGGTTTGGAATTATTTTTTATCCGAATGACGTATTTAAAAATACTAATTTGTTGTAATTATAATACCGCCAATTTAACAATATTAATTATTTTTTTCGATTTACTGGTAAAAAAATTATAGGCTATTCCTTCTTTGTAATCAATATTTATGTTAACCATGGATAATCTAGTGGATAATTTAGTGAGTCGGTGGCTCAGTTGGTAGCTTCGGGCCCAAGGCAACGATGTCGTGGGTTCGGATCCTGGTCACTGCCACTAAAATTTATCAGTAGGCCTACAGTTCATCTTTGTACTGTACCGGCTCACTCCTTGCTTTACTGTAAACGATCCACGCACGGGCACTTTGTGTGGACGGGCAAATGCAAGGTTAAAAGAGGCAGCCAACCACTACAAAAAAACCATGGATCTTCGTTCATAAAATTAAAAGACGATTGAGAATTAAATAGTATCAATATTTAATATTATTTGCACGTTTGAAAGGCTTGACCATGTATAATGTTCTATAGAAGACTATAATATAACGATTTACTATATAAATAATTATAAATAACAAATGTACATCACTGCATTATACTTCTGACATTTAAGTACTGTACTGTAAAACAATCGTACCTTCAAAAACTTGTATCAACCATCAAAATAAATACAGTTAATAATGCACTATTAAATGGTGCATAATAATTTTGCTTCGGTATCAGACATTCTTTTTTCAATTCTGTAATTGCTTAAACTTATAAATGAAGAGTAAAATTTAATCACGATATCATTTGGATACGATAGCAATGGAAAGAGGGCATTGCAAAACAACCACACATATGGCGTCAAGTCTCGTAGCCTCTTAGTATTCCGTCAGCGTTATAGCGTCGTATGCATATTGGTACGACCACGCTTAATCAAAAGGTCAGAAATACACGAAACGGCACAAAAAGTTAATTACAAACAATATTGCAACACTACACATAACCTAAAGCTAACGTTTCGCTAAACTGTCCTTTCGCAATGCAAATAACGGAGTTCAAGGAAGTGGATGAAATAAATTCTTGTTCAACACGTAAGTCGCAAACACATTGGTGTTAGTATAATATAATAAAAAATACACTTATGAAAACTAATTATGTTAACTCACTGTAGCACATTGTTTAATTGCAATCCTAAGATTTCCCATGTATTTATTATAAATAAAATTTCAGGGTCATTCATTAATCAATGTGTTGTTTTATGATCCCTAAAAGGGACCATTGCAAAAAAACCGTGCATATGGCTTTAAGTGATCTATATATTCATACGAATAAAAACATCTATACAAATTTAGGAGGGAATAATTGCATTTTAAGTCTACATATCTACCACATAGCAATTTATTAATGAATAAATTGTTCTCTTCTAAGGATAACTTTTCGAAGATAATCTTAACTGGTCCCTTTAACAAGAAAAAGTCTAGAACTAATATAGTTAAAAATATACCAACAATGATTAATTATAACGATGACAAACAATATACTGTATAGCACTAGCAGTATTACTTAACTGAGTACCACACAATGTACACACTAGGTTAGCTTGCAATTGACAAATCTTGTTAGGGCCCAGGATTGGAATACTTGGTGGATAGGAAGCAGTGAAGTAACATCATCAGATCGGATCAGTATCTCGTTATCAAACTCCGGTCGACTGCACATTTTAATTTGCACATCCGTAGAAACTAGCTTTCACTCTGACTGTATTACTCTGGGACTACCTAAAAAGGAACTGGGCCAGTATTGGGATTGACATTCACTGTTAACATATCTATTGTTAATAGTTTAGACCAGATAAACGATATTTTTGATAAGACTGAGAACGAAAATTTGGTGATTGGTTGCTTTCTGGCCAACATACCACTTTTCATCTTTCAACTATAAATTATAGCCAACAAGACTCTTACTTTTTGCCTTGAAGTACCTATCTATCGAATTAAGTCACTACCGTACATGGCCAAAGGCCGTTAGGAATGTTTGTTACCCATTACTATGCATGACTGGTTTTATTCTTCGTTATCGAAAAAAATAGTGGCTCTTAAATCGTTGTTGAAAGGGAGGTTGTTAGATGAAGGTCGACTGACGAAGAAGTTGTATTCTCACATTAAATGTCATAAATGCAATGCCAGGTTACCCCTACGCAATATTATATATACTGTGCAGTTTATATGTACAGTATTTACATTTTAAATCTAATATGGCAATTAAATTCATACCTATATTGTGCATACATTTTAAATGTATTAATATTACTTCAAGCATTATTATCCGCGGTAAGACTAACCTATACATAGGAATTAATTGCAAACCTTGCCAAGATTTAAATTTTAATCCATTAAAATTAATAATTGGATTAAAACTCAACATAGTGTAATAGGTCAAGGCCAAGAGGATACATGTTTGAAAAGTTTGATCATGAAACCACTTGAAGTCCTTGATTCCGGACAAGTTCACTGTCACACTTGTATCTTTGCCAAAATTTAAATCGACCCACTTTCAAAAACTGGTTTACGTGAGGATATTGTAAATTGGCGTTAAAGTAATGTCTGTTTATTTCATTGCATTTATTCAGT